TCCACGCTGGGGGAGAGAGACCACACCGCTTGAGAGAGAGAGAGAGTGCTGGGTCTTCATGATATCAGCGACTGTAACGATACTGCCATCATTTTTCTGCGAAGCACCGCGGAACATAGCTTCCTGCTTCCTAACTAACACCATCTTCCGCCTCCTGACGTGGAGGATGCATCGTGTATGCACCCCCAACCATGGCGCTAGCATCTGCTGGACTATGTTTTCCTCCGGTATCAAGATCGACAGGACGCACTGGTGTGACCAAGGTTATCTGTGACGCCGATTATTGGACGAAATACGTCTCGTCATTTCCAAGATAAAGCTCCGAATGTAACATGACAGAAGACCGCAAAGTAGCGACTACCAGGTAATTTGAACGCTTTTTGTTGAGTGTGCCGGCTCACCAGCTCCACTTCAGCAAGCAAGTGACTCAGCGACTAGACAAACTGCAAGCTGCGAATTATTACAGCAAACGCTTGCAAAACTTGGGTTCAGGTCGTAATTTCACAATGTCTACGTTAAGATTCACATGGATTGTGTAAAAACACCCAGCTGCGGTTTTCGTCTAAAAACACTGTAAAGTTTGTACGCAAGAACAGACATAAAGGGCCCTGAATGCAGTGAGAAAAAGAAAACATGGGACAAAGGAAACCTGATTGGATTGGTCGGCAACCGCGCTCAGCATCGCCTTCATAGCCTTGTTCACAAACGCATCTGCCAGCCTCGCATCGGGCGTTGGGACCACAGCGGACGTCACGACAGGGGTCTGCTAAAAAGGAATACAGAGTCTACATAAAGAATTTCAATCTTACAAATATAAATCTTGATCTTGAAGACAGCATTAAAAACGTCAGAAACTGTGATCTTGGCATTTCAACTTCTTGTCACTGTTCCCTGCATTCGAACTGCTAGCACTAAGTCTTGAGGCACAAAGCACTACAGTTCCCGGGCTTCGTCAGTTTAGACCTGTCTGCACCGTTTACGATTCCCTTTAAAATCCTCCTTCATAGCCGCATCTGCCGCTTGCTTGCTATAGTCACAGCGAGCAACCCTGCGGAAGCGCTGCAGATTCTGTTGCAAAAATCATGCATTGAAATACTCATATCTTAACCTAATTTACGCCAACACCACCACGACAGACAATGCCATTTTCGCATTAATGAAAATAATCCCATTCAAACAAAGGCTTCATTTATCTCATTATAGACTCCATAGAGTTCAGATAGCCTGCATCGCCATAAACTGTGTTGTACATCTCTACACTCTAAATTGAAGCTGTGGATTTGTCTTCGAGAAGCGCTTTGCAGTAGAGATTCAAAACTAATGTGCTAACATTTATACTCAGGAAATCACACACCAAGGAACAGCAACCTGAATTCTGTTGGCATACTCTCCTTATTAAGGTGTCTCCAGCTGATGCATATCAATAACTCCGCGACACCTACTGAAAGCTCAACAGTCGTCTACAAAATGCGCTGTGATCATGGGAACTGCAAGTGCGGTGGAAAAACTGGACTATACACGCGGACCAGCCCACAGGAACCGACCCCAACCACTCAGAGGCTAGAGCATAAGTCCCAACTTAGGCCTACAATTGGCCAAATCCTCGATTTTTTAGAGAGTTAAGATCTTAGACCGGAGCAGTCAGACGCAACGACTGACACTTCAGGAGTGGTGTCGACCTCATCGACTGACATTTTGAACTTAGTACAGTTTAGTAAATTGTAGGTCAATAACTTAGACAGAAATCCGAACGAGAAAGCCGCACAGACACAGTCCGATGACGAATTCGCTAACGTAGAAAACAGAACTGTTAGACCTAAAGACGAAAGATCCGGCAGCGATTTATCGTGGGACCGCCAACTTATAAAAGTCAATTACTCAAGTTTCTTACCGAAATCATAGTTAAAGGTTGAATGCTTGATTAAGGAGGAGGTAATGCGTGTTTAATGAGTGGAAAGTGAACAGTAGAAAATAATTTAAGCCGCTTGTAATTCTTCTATCGGGTTAAATATATGTGAAAAGAATCAGGAGAGGATAAAAACAACCAATATAAACTCCTATTGGTTCAGTTAAGGATGCCTGTTGACCAATAAGAAGACTAGACAACAATTGGTTAACATCACGAAGGAAATTGTTCGATAGGCAGAAATTTGACCTACTGAAAATTTGCATGAAAGTGATCATTATCAATAAGATCCCTCAAACGGCCTCTATGGAACTCTGCCGGCAGTAGTTTATCCATCATTCAGAGCGGAGGTGATGGACAACACATGCGGATAAAATCTCCGCCAAATCACCCCAAACGAGAGCGGAAAGTCAACAAAAGCAACAATCAAACTGGGACTGTCGGGAAGTTAAAGCCACACAACATGCCCTACTGTTCCATTATGTGCATTCAGCCTTTTTATAAGGGAGAGCCGATCAAGCTCGCCAAAACGTCGGCATTAGTGAACTTTCTCCGGCAATTCCACACCATTCCTCCAATTATCAGTCCGGAAGCCTCACATCTACTCATCTAAGCGTACGAAAATATCTAAAAAAGACCCTAACCTGGTCTACGCAACCTACTTTGCCTCCATTTAAAACTCCATAGACAATGCCTTATTTAATTATATGGAAATGAATTCAGAGAACAG